AGGATCCCCCACCAGCAGCCCACCACCTGTGGCTACACGACCCCTAGCGATGGCACCAATAGCGCGTTGGCCGTAAACTTGAGCGCAAATGGTATCGCCATGGCAGTAAATTAGAGCGCCAATGGTATCGCCATGGACAGACACTTCCGATGAGCCATCGCAGGCAGGCTGCAACCGCGTAGAAGGCCTCGGTCCCGATTCTCGCCTTGCCCTCCAGTAGTCACCACCAGTGCCTACACGACCCCTAGCGATGGCTCCAATAGCGCGTTGGCCGTAACCTAGAGCGCAAATGGTATCACGATGGCAGTAAATTAGAGCGCCAATGGTATCGCCATGGACAGACACTTCCGATGAGCCATCGCAGGCAGGCTGCAACCGCGTAGAAGGCCTCGGTCCCGATTCTCGCCTTGCCCACCAGCAGTCACCACCAGTGGCTACACGACCCCTAGCGATGGCACCAATGTCTCGTTGGCGGTAGATTGCGTCGCAAACGGTATCGCCATAGACAGGACACATCCGATGAGCCATCGCATGCAGCCTGTAACCGCGTAGAAGGCCTCGGTCCCGATTCTCGCCTTGCCCACCAGCAGTCACCACCAGTGGCTACACGACCCCTAGCGATGGCACCAATAGCGCGTTGGCCGTAAACTTGAGCGCAAATGGTATCGCCATGGACATACACATCCGATGAGCCATCGCAGGCAGCCTGCAACCGCGTAGAAGGCCTCGGTCCCGATTCTCGCCTTGCCCACCAGCAGTCACCACCAGTGGCTACACGACCCCTAGCGATGGCACCAATAGCGCGTTGGCCGTAAACTTGAGCGCAAATGGTATCGCCATGGACATACACATCCGATGAGCCATCGCAGGCAGCCTGCAACCGCGTAGAAGGCCTCGGTCCCGATTCTCGCCTTGCCCACCAGCAGTCACCACCAGTGGCTACACGACCCCTAGCGATGGCACCAATAGCGCGTTGGCCGTAAACTTGAGCGCAAATGGTATCGCCATGGACATACACATCCGATGAGCCATCGCAGGCAGCCTGCAACCGCGTAGAAGGCCTCGGTCCCGATTCTCGCCTTGCCCACCAGCAGTCACCACCAGTGGCTACACGACCCCTAGCGATGGCACCAATAGCGCGTTGGCCGTAAACTTGAGCGCAAATGGTATCGCCATGGACAGACACTTCCGATGAGCCATCGCAGGCAGCCTGCAACCGCGTAGAAGGCCTCGGTCCCGATTCTCGCCTTGCCCACCAGCAGTCACCACCAGTGGCTACACGACCCCTAGCGATGGCACCAATGTCTCGTTGGCGGTAGATTGCGTCGCAAACGGTATCGCCATAGACAGGACACATCCGATGAGCCATCGCATGCAGCCTGTAACCGCGTAGAAGGCCTCGGTCCCGATTCTCGCCTTGCCCACCAGCAGTCACCACCAGTGGCTACACGACCCCTAGCGATGGCACCAATAGCGCGTTGGCCGTAAACTTGAGCGCAAATGGTATCGCCATGGACATACACATCCGATGAGCCATCGCAGGCAGCCTGCAACCGCGTAGAAGGCCTCGGTCCCGATTCTCGCCTTGCCCACCAGCAGTCACCACCAGTGGCTACACGACCCCTAGCGATGGCACCAATGTCTCGTTGGCGGTAGATTGCGTCGCAAACGGTATCGCCATAGACAGGACACATCCGATGAGCCATCGCATGCAGCCTGTAACCGCGTAGAAGGCCTCGGTCCCGATTCTCGCCTTGCCCACCAGCAGTCACCACCAGTGGCTACACGACCCCTAGCGATGGCTCCAATAGCGCGTTGGCCGTAACCTAGAGCGCAAATGGTATCGCCATGGCAGTAAATTAGAGCGCCAATGGTATCGCCATGGACAGACACTTCCGATGAGCCATCGCAGGCAGCCTGCAACCGCGTAGAAGGCCTCGGTCCCGATTCTCGCCTTGCCCACCAGCAGTCACCACCAGTGGCTACACGACCCCTAGCGATGGCACCAATAGCGCGTTGGCCGTAAACTTGAGCGCAAATGGTATCGCCATGGACATACACATCCGATGAGCCATCGCAGGCAGCCTGCAACCGCGTAGAAGGCCTCGGTCCCGATTCTCGCCTTGCCCACCAGCAGTCACCACCAGTGGCTACACGACCCCTAGCGATGGCACCAATGTCTCGTTGGCGGTAGATTGCGTCGCAAACGGTATCGCCATAGACAGGACACATCCGATGAGCCATCGCATGCAGCCTGTAACCGCGTAGAAGGCCTCGGTCCCGATTCTCGCCTTGCCCACCAGCAGTCACCACCAGTGGCTACACGACCCCTAGCGATGGCACCAATAGCGCGTTGGCCGTAAACTTGAGCGCAAATGGTATCGCCATGGACATACACATCCGATGAGCCATCGCAGGCAGGCTGCAACCGCCTAGAAGGCATCGGTCCCGATTCTCGCCTTGCCCACCAGCAGGCCACCACCTGTGGCTACACGACCCCTAGCGATGGCACCAATAGCGCGTTGGCCGTAAACTTGAGCGCAAATGGTATCGCCATGGACATACACATCCGATGAGCCATCGCAGGCAGCCTGCAACCGCGTAGAAGGCCTCGGTCCCGATTCTCGCCTTGCCCACCAGCAGTCACCACCAGTGGCTACACGACCCCTAGCGATGGCACCAATGTCTCGTTGGCGGTAGATTGCGTCGCAAACGGTATCGCCATAGACAGGACACATCCGATGAGCCATCGCATGCAGCCTGTAACCGCGTAGAAGGCCTCGGTCCCGATTCTCGCCTTGCCCACCAGCAGTCACCACCAGTGGCTACACGACCCCTAGCGATGGCACCAATAGCGCGTTGGCCGTAAACTTGAGCGCAAATGGTATCGCCATGGACATACACATCCGATGAGCCATCGCAGGCAGCCTGCAACCGCGTAGAAGGCCTCGGTCCCGATTCTCGCCTTGCCCACCAGCAGTCACCACCAGTGGCTACACGACCCCTAGCGATGGCACCAATAGCGCGTTGGCCGTAAACTTGAGCGCAAATGGTATCGCCATGGACATACACATCCGATGAGCCATCGCAGGCAGCCTGCAACCGCGTAGAAGGCATCGGTCCCGATTCTCGCCTTGCCCACCAGCAGTCACCACCAGTGGCTACACGACCCCTAGCGATGGCACCAATAGCGCGTTGGCCGTAAACTTGAGCGCAAATGGTATCGCCATGGACATACACATCCGATGAGCCATCGCAGGCAGCCTGCAACCGCGTAGAAGGCCTCGGTCCCGATTCTCGCCTTGCCCACCAGCAGTCACCACCAGTGGCTACACGACCCCTAGCGATGGCACCAATAGCGCGTTGGCCGTAAACTTGAGCGCAAATGGTATCGCCATGGACAGACACTTCCGATGAGCCATCGCAGGCAGCCTGCAACCGCGTAGAAGGCATCGGTCCCGATTCTCGCCTTGCCCACCAGCAGTCACCACCAGTGGCTACACGACCCCTAGCGATGGCACCAATAGCGCGTTGGCCGTAAACTTGAGCGCAAATGGTATCGCCATGGACATACACATCCGATGAGCCATCGCAGGCAGCCTGCAACCGCGTAGAAGGCCTCGGTCCCGATTCTCGCCTTGCCCACCAGCAGTCACCACCAGTGGCTACACGACCCCTAGCGATGGCACCAATAGCGCGTTGGCCGTAAACTTGAGCGCAAATGGTATCGCCATGGACATACACATCCGATGAGCCATCGCAGGCAGCCTGCAACCGCGTAGAAGGCCTCGGTCCCGATTCTCGCCTTGCCCACCAGCAGTCACCACCAGTGGCTACACGACCCCTAGCGATGGCACCAATAGCGCGTTGGCCGTAAACTTGAGCGCAAATGGTATCGCCATGGACAGACACTTCCGATGAGCCATCGCAGGCAGCCTGCAACCGCGTAGAAGGCCTCGGTCCCGATTCTCGCCTTGCCCACCAGCAGTCACCACCAGTGGCTACACGACCCCTAGCGATGGCACCAATGTCTCGTTGGCGGTAGATTGCGTCGCAAACGGTATCGCCATAGACAGGACACATCCGATGAGCCATCGCATGCAGCCTGTAACCGCGTAGAAGGCCTCGGTCCCGATTCTCGCCTTGCCCACCAGCAGTCACCACCAGTGGCTACACGACCCCTAGCGATGGCACCAATAGCGCGTTGGCCGTAAACTTGAGCGCAAATGGTATCGCCATGGACATACACATCCGATGAGCCATCGCAGGCAGCCTGCAACCGCGTAGAAGGCCTCGGTCCCGATTCTCGCCTTGCCCACCAGCAGTCACCACCAGTGGCTACACGACCCCTAGCGATGGCACCAATAGCGCGTTGGCCGTAAACTTGAGCGCAAATGGTATCGCCATGGACAGACACTTCCGATGAGCCATCGCAGGCAGCCTGCAACCGCGTAGAAGGCCTCGGTCCCGATTCTCGCCTTGCCCACCAGCAGTCACCACCAGTGGCTACACGACCCCTAGCGATGGCACCAATAGCGCGTTGGCCGTAAACTTGAGCGCAAATGGTATCGCCATGGACATACACATCCGATGAGCCATCGCATGCAGCCTGCAACCGCCTAGAAGGCCTCGGTCCCGATTCTCGCCTTGCCCACCAGCAGTCACCACCAGTGGCTACACGACCCCTAGCGATGGCACCAATAGCGCGTTGGCCGTAAACTTGAGCGCAAATGGTATCGCCATGGACATACACATCCGATGAGCCATCGCAGGCAGCCTGCAACCGCCTAGAAGGCATCGGTCCCGATTCTCGCCTTGCCCACCA